CTTCTTCTTCTTCTTCTTCTTCTTCTTCTTCTCAATGTTCGCTGGTATTGGTAACGAGATTCATCATGAACAAAGCAAAAAGCACTAAACTAGCAGCATTTATTGCCGTCACATAATTTCGCGACCTCTGTTTCAACTACAAACGGTCATTGGCTGTTAATAAGATAAATTAACTGTCGAACTAAGTATAGTAGTCGCCGTTTATTAAGCCCACGGTTAATAGGCCCAGCCGCTTATTAAGCCCACTTTGGTATGGGCCCGAGGTGGGCTTAATAACCGGCGACTACTGTATCGACCTACAAGCGTGAAACTTGATAGGTAAATAGTGTGGTGTTGGATCTGGGCGCATGGTGCGGGTATAGAGGGAGGCGGGGAGGTAGTTATCACAGCAAAGCAGTTCATGTTACAGTGAAAGCCTGTGGAGTGTGATTAAAGAGGCAGGGGCAAAGGCCAGGGCAGCAGTCGGTCATAAGTGGGAGGATGCGGAGGCGTGACAAGGAATGAGCTTATCGATCATTAGCACAACAACGCAAGGTTGATCACATGATCCAGCCGCTTAGAGAGTTCTGGTTTTCTTCTCCGTATTGCAGCGGCCTCCGCAAACCATAAGAGACGCCTGGTACTCACCCGAAGCACGACCTTAAATGCAGTCCTTTTGTCGGCCAGTGTCCATTAGGTGCTTCGTGATGGAACTCTTGGTTATTTTATTTTCCGCCCTGAGCAACCACTTCGTCATATGTTCAGCTGATCGCGTTGCCAACTGCCTTTGCGTGCGCCCGATGTATTTTCATCCGCAACTACATGTAAACTCGTAAACGCAGTTTGATGTGGCGTGTATAGGTAGAATATATTTAGGTGGTTTAACTGGAATAGCCGTTGTTGTGCTTATGTACAACAATTAAGAGACAGTGTAAGTTCACTCAATCGTGCACTGAAGCCTGAACTTTATCACGTTGGGCACATTATCATCCTTGAATGGGAGGAAGATGCTCACTGACTTTTTGGCACTGATATTTCGGGAGGAGTTTCCCGTCTGCGGTGACGATATTTATCGATGAATTTCTCCGGATAGCCGTTTCCACGAAACACTTCCTTGAGAAAACTGATGCCTTCATTGATCCTATCCCAAGCACAGATTTTAGTGACTCTATCGAAAAGGCACAAAACCAAGTCTCGTTTCGGCTGAATTGGAACGAAACTAAGAAAAAATATATACTATCCTTTCCATGTTCAAATTTATTCCGGAAAAACAATGTTTCTATTTTCTGAAGAGACGCATCAAGCTCAGTAACTATCTGCCGGACTGCTCTTTGCTCCTTGGATGTGACACATCTCTCTTTGCGATTGCAGCATTTGCGAGGACTCCAGCGCACTCAAATAAAACTAGATCATAGGAGGGTTTATAGCAGAGGGGATTTTTCAATCGACTCCCTACGTTATTTGTTCGCTGTGTTTGCCAGTTATGACGGATATTATAAGCACAGATTTGATTAAATTACTAGTGTATGGCACTCTGAACCTACACACAGGCGCTCAGATCGAAAAAAAGCTATAGCAACCCTTTGCAGGCTAAACAGCGATTGAATGAAACAAAAAGACGGTTGCATTTGTGCCAGACAGGCTAATGTTTGGCATACGACAGATAAGGGTAGTCTTTATGGCCTCCAGACAAGACACGGAGGTGAAGAACGTCTCGTAGTGCAGGTAAACCCGGATTAGGACTGCTGTTCAGGTCAGGAGTTTGAGAGAGAGAAATGCTTTATTTTGACGGTAATATCTAAATTTTTCAGCAAAAATGACCACATTCACGGAGGACAAGGGGTAAGGTAAGGCAAAAAGTCATTGAATACTCAAAGTTTAAAGATTTACACGATGTCTGTTATGGAGACAGGTCGACTTTCAACTTC